CAGGGCTGGCTGGGGAATTCTAGGAGTTGAAGTCCCCACATCTTAAAGTGGCCAAGGTTGAAAAACACTGCTTCAGAGAATCAGTGACACATCTTTTGAATCAAATTTAATTTTTTTTCCTTGTCAAGGTCTTCCTTGTTCTGCAGCTAACCAAGACCCGGATGATGATCTTCTCTTGGGATCAGAGGAGACCTTGTCTCACTGAAAAACTAGTCTTGCCTGGCCAAAACTAACTTTTCTAGAGAGAAAAAGGTATAGATCTAAGAAAAGTTTCCAGCAATGAGTTCAGAGCATTTATTACAGAGGCTCTGAATGCCTTCAAGGATGCCTAGATAAAACAGCTGGCTTAAAAAAAAAAAACCCACCAAAAACAGAATATGATAAATGAAATGTTTAAGAAAATAATCAAGGAAGGCTTCTAGCTCTAATTAGATTTTCCCAGAGAAAGGAAATTTCTCTCGAGAATAAAAAGTGACGCCCCACGTTCTCATCCAGAAAGATCTTAAACGCTAATTTAATCTACTGTAAACTTGAGGAGCGAGGTTTAGAAGATGGTGGCGTGACAATCACATCATCCGAATGGGCAACGGTTGCTTCACAACTTGGAACAAAAGGTTACTCCGCGGAGAAAGGAAGATTCACCCCTAATAATGGTACCTTGTGTTCAAGAAACATTGCAAAGACCTTGCATAATATTAGCTAGGTTCCAATGAACCACAAGACCAACACACACACACACACACACCCCTTCCAAGAAAATATTCTTCCAGGTGGAGCAAAGGTTTAAGTTGGACCCCAAGTAATCAGGACCCTGGACAGTTCTCCGTCAGCCACATTTGAACAGTCAAGACTACGGAGGGAATTTCAAGTGATTTGGGTGAATCCCCTGAGTTTCTCGCCACGTTCTCCATCTTCAATTTAGTCCATCAGACTGAGACGTTTTCGCAAAGACCACAGGAGGGTTCATTTCCGTTTCCGGCACGTTTCTCCGCACGCCGGCATTTTGCTCCTTTTAAAAGCAAGGGTCTTGTGCGAGATCCCATCTCCTTTTCCCTAATACAAGGGTGATTTGCAGGCCTTTCTCTAAGATACACCCCTTTGGAGTTGCAGATGGCATTGCAAAATTTGGTGGAGTCTGGATTTTGGGGTGCAGAATGTGTGTAGGGTTAGGAGTGCAAAGTGGGGTAAGGGCGCATTAAAACGGGAATTCAGCCCTTTTCCTGCCTGGTCTGGAATCGATTCCCTTGAGTGTGACTTCAGACCTTCCTGAGTTGTTGGCTGTGATTGAAAAAAGGATCAGGAGGGGCCAGCGAGGGAGGCCTTACTGTAACATAGCAGAACAGCCCCGTCTACCAGATGTTTTAATTTGGATTTCTGCATGGAGCATTAGAGGAGGAGAGGCGGGTTAATCTATAGGAGCAAAAAATTAGATTTTTCCCCCCCCGACTAATGCATTTGATGAAGTCACTCTGCAGTGAGATGGGCGGTGACAAACTGGAAGTATAAATATAAATAAATAAATGGCCCACCCTTTCGTGTTAGGGTTGGTCGGAAAAGGCGCTACCAAACTCCGTTTTGATTTTTGGCATTGCAGCACCGACTGGCTGGTTCCCAGCTGACAGAGATCCGGGAGGCTGGGGTGTAAACTGCCACCCGTCAGCCCCTCTGTTCTCCATAAAGAGACTTGCCATTTGCCAGTTCAGTTAAAGACTGAAAGAAGATACAGAACTCTCTGCTCTGATGTACTTGGGGACATATTGCTTCTAGAAGGAAAGCTCGCTGCAGTTCTTTGAACCCCCTCCTGTTCTCCTCTGTAAATGTTGCTGGAGAGACTCGGCGAGAATTGTGCTTGGAAAAGAATGAATTTTGGGGTGCAAGCAGCTGGTAGAGGACAGGTCATCAGACCCAGTGGCCTCTTTCAAATCTCCAGGTTCTCCAACTCCAGCAATAACACACCCCTGGGGTTTACACACGCTACCCTCAAACGTTTGCCCCCAGAGACGAAACCCAAGTCAGCTGGGTTTCTCTGCCCCTTGTGTGCATGCGAAATGGATTTTGCCTTTTATGTTGGGCTGTTTCTGTTTTTTAATTGATTTTAAACCTGGAACTGAGGGGCCACGCGAGCAAGTTGGACTTCTCTTAAGCCTTGGGTTCGAATTTAAAGCCCCAGGAATTGCATTCCTTGAAAGGAACGAGGTTGAACAGTGGATTTATTTCGTTTTCATTCTTTTATGCACAACTGCTCCCTTTCGGAAAGCCGAGCCCGACCCGCATCTAGGTTTGAGATGCAAAAGGTGCTTGCATTTCTGGGTGGGGCAGGGGAATCTCCCTGGCCTGGAAATTTGTAATGTGCAGACCAGGAGAAGCAACTTACAAAGTCCAGCCTCTAGCGACAAGTATCCAGCAGTTTTCTACTGCTTGAGGAAAAGTGAAAAAAAGGGGTTGTCTGAAAGAAAAAAAGGTTCTGGGTATCCTCGCCCCCGCTTTACTTCAGCCCCACACAGCATGTAGCCCCCAATGGACTTGGAGGTTCAGCCCTTGAGGAATCTATCAAAAAACCCCCATCCACTTCAACCAGACCCACTTTTTGGGGATCCTTCTGGACCACCTCCTTGGCGACGCAGCCAGGCATGGATGTGCCCCAGCTGAAACATTCTGCACTCCGCAAAGCTGCCAGGCCCACAGCTTACCTTTTTTAATCTTCTCGTGGAAGTTGATGGCGTCCACAGAGGCGGTCACGATGTTGGTCTTGCAGTGGCGAGCGGCGACAATTCCGGCGACTTCATCCATGAGTTTCATTGTCACGCCTGGGGAAGAGGGGGGAAAGAGCCGTGACTAATGGAGGCAGCAACCCGTGATGGGTCTCTGGGCTAGCAGGCTCCAGCTTTGAATGAGAATTAGGAGGTCATCAGGGTAGCGTCCAGATCAAAACATCTCCACCCCAACCTCTGCCCGAACATTGGCAGGGAAGGGGTGCTCACCACCTCTGGGAGTCTTCTGAAATGCTTCTTCAGGAATTTATTTTGCCTTTTGCCCTTGAAGAGAAGGGAGGTGTTCGGGGAACATCTGTGCGTCTTCCAAGGCTACCTCCACCCTGTTCCTTTCAATGCCCCTTTGGAGGATTTGTTTCTTGTTCCCTGATCATTCTCATGGCCCCTTCCCTGGACCTCTTCTGTTTGTCTCAGTCCTTCTTAATCTCCGGGGCCCAGAACCGAACACAACTCTCAAGGGGGCGGGGGGAGCTGATAAATCCAGAATAGAGTAAAACGGTGACTTTCCAGGGCTTGGAAACTAGACTTCTACTAATGTACCCTAAAATCTGCTTTCTTTTCTTTTTTTTTAAGGCTAAAAAGTACAGGAGAAGGCCCTAGGGTTAAACAAGTGTGAAAACTGTAAGACACTCAGACACCCCCAAAGGGCCACATCCTTGGCACGACAGCCATTCTGCTCTGAGAAATGGGTAAGGGGTCAGCACAGACGAAAGCCAATGCCAACCAGGAAGACCCACTTCAAAACTTTAGATGAGAAGACCGCGATGCTTTCAAATCGGTTGGAACCCCAAAGGGAGACTGGACACCCACACCCCCGTTATCTGTCTCTGAAGAGCCTTCTTCAACAGCACCCCCCCTGGTCACCAGCCAGAGCAGCCAATATTCTGTTGGCTGGGGACGATGGGTACAGCCTCCAACCTATCTGGAGGGCCTCCAGCTCAACTCCACACAAGCGGCTTCCCAGGGGCGATGTGAGATCCTTCAGGAGGGGTGGGGGGACCCTGGTTCAGATCTAAGGGCTTGGTGACAGCCACAGATCCTCTCCAGATCTAATGCTTGTTCCTCTTTCTCAGTCCTTCAGCCCTTAGCAGCTGCTGGGGGAGGAACAGAACGTTCTTGTAAGGAAGCTGAGTCAACTCCAGGTAGATTTCCTCAAATGAGGTGGCAAAGGTACCCCTAACATTCCTCTCTGTGCCAGGATGGTATGCCAGGGGGCTATTCCCACAGAAGTTCAAAGGAAGGGAGGAGAAAACAAACTGCATGCTTGCAAAGAGCTAGAGGCAAAAGATGGTTGCAGAAGACAATTAATTATACCTCGTTGCTTTCTGCGAATGCGGTGGAGATCTAAGCCCCTCCACCAAGCTTCACACCGAGCAAGGCGAGTCCAACTAACAAGAAGCGAACGGTTGCTAAAAATAGCACAGCCAACACACACTCACAACAGCCTTTGTTGCTCGGGCCTCGTCTTAATCAAGCAGAAGGATCCGGATGAAAAAATCTGACGTCTTCCTAACCCAACAAATGGGACCGGAGGGGGATCCTGGAGGCGAGGGATCCTGGGCCTCGAACAGCTGTGGTGCTAACCCCATTCCTGCAACCCAGAATTCAGAATGAATTCCGCCAGCAGCGTTTTCTACATGGACATCTGAAGCAATGAAGCCTGGGAGCTGACTCGCCGATGGACGGGGGCCGCTGTTCTGTGATCGTGTCTGTTAAATTAGGCTTTGTTAATTACACCCAGTGCTGGGTCAAGCCCCACGCAGCTGGGAAGCATCAAGAACGCAAGGAAAGCACAGATTTCAACAAGGGGTCTTCCATAAGACCGTAAACCCAGACTCGTGCAAACCACAAACGGCATCTCCCACCCTCGTTTAGAGCGAGGGGATTAATCCGGAGTCTCGTGGGATGAGGTGAAATGCTTCTGCCCAGGTTTCTCGTCAGCTGGGCTGAACGGCCACTTAGAAGATCAAGGGCGGAGAGGAAGGAAGATGACCTCAACAGAGACAGGCCAGATCCGTTACCAAAGCAGAAAAAACCACGGCTTAAGTCCAAAACAAGGAAGTGTGTGGAAGCACTTGAGATCGACACCTCTCTAATTCACATGAGTATAAGGGGGGGAGCACAACCAGACTTGCAAAATTTGGTTATCAGAGCCACTCTGAATAAAATTAATCTTAGCCCCCCTGTGGAGTTGATTTTCAGTCTGGTCTACCTGGTGGGGCTGACAATCATCTGCCAGGAGATGGCCCTCCTATCTCTGGATTATTTAGGTATTCTTTCCCTTCCACTCCTTTCCTACCTTGCCCCAAATCTTTCACACCAGCTTCCTGCAGTCATAGATGGGAGCTCACATTGCTGGAGCTGGCTCATGGGATGATTGACGCTGCTTCCCCCATCTTCTTGATTTGTATATTGCTTTTATAGGTTTGGTCTTTGTGATTTAATCAGGGGGTATTTCTGTTTTTATTGTTTTTATTGTCTTGGTTTTTAATTGTAAGCCACCCAGAGTCACCCTCTGGGGGAGATGGGCGGCATATAAATTAAATAAATGTCCACTCCTATTATTGCTGACAACAGGATCCTCAACCTAAGTGGGGCAGATCCCTTCATTTTTCTGAAGGATCATTGCCAATCCAAGATATGGTGTGTGATCCTCTCTCTCCCTCTGAAAACAAAGGCCCAGAACAATTTGCTCCTGACTCACATGAAGCACACCTCCTCTCGTGTCTACCACCCCATAAGCATGAGCTTGTCAGAAACATGGAACAGCATTAACCCTGATTTTCCAGTGGGGGCTCTGAAGCTCAGTATCTCTCTCTGAAGACAGGCAATTAATTAATCAAGGAGTTCAGGACCTACTGGTTAGCAGCAAGGAGAGTGGGTGAGCTGGGCTGGGCATGGAATTAAGAATTATTTTGGGGATTCAGACCTCATAACTACTCAGGAAAGTAGAAACTGGATGCTATCCTGGGCATCAACTGAGAACTATGTGCAGAACAGCAGCCAAGGCATGGAGGAATTGGGGCAGAGAGAGATTTGGAGGAACAAGTGTGAGACCTGTGAGGTAAGCCAGGTCAAGAAACAGATACTATAAGAAATTTTGGAATTCTATTGATATAGGCTATAACAACTGACAGCTTTTTCTTTTCCTTCTCTCTTATATGTCAGCCTTCCTAGGTAGACCAAACAGGAAACACAACCGAATAAGCTAATTCTACTTTATTGTGAGGCTACATTAACAGAATCTTGCAAGTCTGAAAGTACAAGTCTCCCACCCTCTTCTTTACAGCCTGAGAAGTTAGGGAGGGTCCCTTCTGAGCCATTTTCTCTGCCCATTATGCAGCTGTGGGCTACGCCCTCTCTTATCTGACTGTTCCTAGGCAGCATCTCTTCGCCCCATTTCTCAAGGTCTTTCTCACATACCATTACATCATATCAAAGAGAGTCAAGGTGGGGCGATCTTGAGTTTCTTTCTCACCTTTTCCTGTTTTCCTGAGCTAAGCTCATGTTTTGCTAATGGTCTCTGAATACCTTCCCCAGGGCCACCTCTGTACTCCTTTAGAGCACAAGAAAAGGCAACTCACCCACCCTGTCTAAAACAGCTGAGACTGTGGCTCACAGCACTGACATTCAAAGAAGCCACTCTGTGAATTTGCCAATCAAGAAGCTCTTGGCCACAATATGAAGGACAGGAATGGAAGCCCTGAAGTTCTCTATAATACTGCTGGACAACAGCTTCCATCCTGGTTGGTGGAGAGGAATCCTGGGAGATGTAGTTCAACAGCATCTGCAGGGGCACATCCCGCACATCAGCTTGGCTGTTGTGAGAACAGATGAAGCCCACCTGAAACAAGCCGGCTGGGTTCTTCTTGTGCTCTAAGCCCATGAAAAAGGGCATAATTAGGAACCATTGGAACATTTGGGATTTGGGGAGCAGGCCAGCAGGCACTCTCACAAAATGGCTGCTAAGAGAGGGCTTGTCCAAATGTAAACCTTGCCAAATCTTTTCTGGCCTATCAATGTCCCTACTATCTACTCTAGCCTTCCTCCCAACATTTTACTTCATGTGGTGGTCATGCAAAAAAAAAAAAAAATTAAAAAAATCCAAAGTATTGGAAAGAAATACATAACCCCCCCCCCAACCTAAAAAAAAAAATTTGAATAAAAACCAAAATAGCTTCTATACCAGGAAACCAAAATGAAAAAAA